AACACAGGGAACCATCTCAAAGGTCCCTGGAAGGAAGGCAGAGGGGATATCTGGGAAGTTTATGATCTAGGCACTAATTCCGCTTCCGGAGATGATACTCTCCTGCCTTGCAGATAGTGTCCATCTCTCTCTGCCATGAAGCATGCTCTCTGGTATCCCCACTTCTAAGCACAAGAAGGACATTAAATAAAGGCCCTACCTTTACGAATTCATTTGCCCTGAGGTCCTATCTCCACAATGCGTTCACATGGTGTAGGGTTATAGCAGTTGGGTATGTGTAAGTGTGCACAAAACTGAGTCCATAGCTGCCAGCTTAAGTGAAATTTTAAAACTGAACAACTGAGTTAAGCAACATGTTAAAAGCAGAATAGAAAAGTATAGTGATTCAGAAGAAAATAAATGTGAAGCATGGGAAAGAGTGTGACACGGTCTTCATTTCTGGGTTTTTTTTGTTTGTTTGTTTGTTTTTTGGTTTTTTTTTTTGGTGGGGGTTAAATATTTTGGGGATCTTTTGGAGATTTTTCTTTATTTCTTTCCAGTCTAGGGACCAAACCTAGGGCTGGCTGAATACTTAACACCTAAACACTGTTGAAGAAGAAGAAGAAACAGTGAATGACCAGCCTGTGAAGGAATAGAGGCTGATAATTCTATAAATATGACAAACAAACAAACCACAAACTCTTAAGCTTTAGTTTCCAAAAGCTCAAGAAATACAGGTAGGATGCATACCCAGTGTCTTAGTTGATTTCTGCTGCTGAGCCAAGGACTAAGGTCAAAAGCAACATGGAGAGGGATAGGCTTACTTCTCCTTACACTTCCTGTAGCAATGAATCACTGGGGGAAGTGAGGGCAGGACCTCTAGGCAGAAACCTGGAGGCCGAAAGTGACAGAGAAGCCACGAGGACCGCTGCCTGCTTCCCTTGGCTTCCTTCTTTGCTTTCTTATGCACCCTAGGACCACAAGCCCACAAGTGTCACCACCCACAGTCTGATGAGGCAGGCAAGTCTGATGAGGGCATTTTCTCAATTGCCGTTCCCTCTTCCCAGATGCCTCCAGCTTGTATCAAGTCGGAACAAAACAAAACTCACTCAATGATGACAACAACAAGGACACACAGCTTAGTAGAACTGCTGGAAAACAGCACACAGGAAATCTTGAAAGATGATAAGCAGAACAAAACAAAACACAAATCACCATCAAAGCAGCATCAAAAAGGTTAATGTCTTCCTGAATGAGGATTGAGCAGATCTGATAGGCTAGGGTCAGATGGAAGGGGAGGAGGACTCCCCTATCAGTGGACTGGGGGAAGGGCCTGGGAAGAGAAGAGGAAGGGAGGGTGAGATTGGGAGTGGACGACGGAGGGGGCTACACCTGGGATACAAAGTGAATAAATTGTAATAAATTAAAAAATGCATTTTTTAAAAAAAGGAGAAAAAAAGACTAATGTCTGACTTCTCATCAAAAGGGTGCAAGAGAGGACTGAAGTCACAGCCTCCAAGAGCTAACAAAAGAAAATTAAAACCCATTTCGTGAAACATGGCCTTCCCAATCAAAGTCAGCATCCCATTGCACCATATATGAACTTCTCAGTCAAAGGCAATAGCTTTCCCAATCAAAGGTGACAGAAGGACACTTAAAAGCAAAAACAGAGAGCATGTCGCCAATGTACATTTCTAAAATAAATACCTAAAGAATTTTTTGAGGGAATCAAGAAATGCACAAAAGACTGACGTTAGCTTACAGGTTAAATGTGTATTGAATTCTCAATGGGTACTGGTTGGATCAAAAACTGTAAATAACGCCTGTTTAAACAAGACATAGAATTGTGGGGTTTTTTTGTTTTTGTTTTTTGTTTGTTTGTTTTTGTTTTCGTTTCTATTTTTGGTAGCAAAAAAAGGTGAGTAGGTAAAGACTAAAATATTCTGAGGTTCTCATATTCATGTGAAAAGCAGTAAAATTCTAATTTATATTAGCATTAAGTAAGTCTAACATTCATATTGTGCTAGTATTGTTATAAAACATTTCAAAAGAATAAAGAAATAATAAAATGACACGAAACTAAAGGAAACAGAAATATACAGCCAAAGGAAGAAATAAAAAACATATAACAAGACGGTAGATTCTAAAAAAAAAAAAAAAAAATGATTACATTAAGTGCAAATATTTGACTTCAAATTTAAAATATTGTCAGGATACACAAAAACTAAAACCCTTTATAGTGTATAAAAGAAGTATATCTTAAATATGATGCCATAAAATGACAGAAATGGAAACAGTGATAAAAAAAGGCACTCTCTTGTACATACTTTCAAAAGAAAGTTGGTATGGTAACACTACTATCAATCAAGTCAACTTTAAGATGAGAGGCATTACTGCAAACAAAGAGGATAGTTCATGAAAAAGGGGAGATTTAGTGCCAAGAACATGCCACAAGGAGTCTATGGCTGTATGCAGTGAACAGCACAAAGTAAAAGAGAAACGGAACAAGCTTCAAATATAGGGGCAGATTTTAAGAGATCTCTCTTGTCAACTACGGGCAAGAAGAGGTAGAGAGTTGGGGAAAGAAAGAAAGAAAGAAACAGGAGAGGGGAGAGAGACAGAAAGAGGAGAGAGACAGAGAGAAGACAGAGAAACAGAGAGAGAAGGGAGAGACATAAACAGAGATAGAGAAGACAGAGAAATAGAGGGGAATTACTCTCCCCAGCCATAAAGCCTAAGAAGTACAATGACCAGCAGGTTAAGATACACCCAAGAGGGTGAGAGTCTTTTTTTTTTTTTTTGCTAACCAGCAGCCATCTAATTGGACTTAGAGCCCACTCAACAGTTTTATAAACCTAACCAAGTACCCATGGCTGGTAAAGTCATAGACCTTAGAGAAGAACACTCTGCTGCCAACTCTCTAAACTATTACAATTACCAACTACATTCTAAATATTTAACTTATATCCACAGATAAATGTAAATTTGATCCCTCACTGAGGAATAATTTTGTAATATATGGAGACATCACAGAAATCCGTAAGTGATCAAATGTAGAGGACAACTGTGGGATATCCATTGACAACACAACACCTACACCTAAAGTTCAGGGAACATTGTAGAAGAGGACATGGAAAGGCTTCAAGAGCCAGAGGACCAAGACATCTGCTTCCAGATAGTGTCTTCTATACAAGACAGGGAGTTACAATGGTGAAATTAGCAATATGCTCACCTAAACAATGACAACACCAGTTGACATTTCAACATAGATGAAGGAGATCTCACAAGGCCCACTCCTGAGGAAGAGCTGCAGTCAGTTAGTGGCTACTGAGAAAGGCTGAATCTGTCTTCCCCAGAGTTGAGCCTTCCATTAAATCATCCAGTCTCGTGTGATCAGCCTTAATCACACACACATGAGCAAATTATATTTATAGATACATGTGTATATGTGTGTGTATAACAATAACTAAAGAAGAGTGAATTTGAGAGGGTGTTGGGGAACACAGGAGTTGTGAGGGAAGTGATGTAAATTCTCAAGATAGTAAGTGTAAAATAATGTTTTTAAAAGACCTTGATTGACATAAAATCATTACAACCAAGAAATGAAGAATGCAATTGCTTTAAAAGTATACAGAAAATGTTTGCCAAAAATAACCACTTTGAGGGCCAAAAAGCAAATTTTAAATGGTTGAAACTGTAAAGGATACATGGGCTTCTAAACCACAAAGCTACAATAGAGTATATCCCCTTCTGCTTAAAAAAAAATGCAAGAATGAAACAGTCAAAATGCTTGAAAATTAAGCAATACACTTTGAAACAACCCACTGGCCAAAGGAGATAAAAATACGATGGAAACTGTGAACACTTTAAATCAATAAAACTATAATGAGTCTTTGTGTAAACTTAAGACCAAGCTTAGCACGCATATGACATACATTGAATGCACATATAAAGTGAAGGCTAAAGGTCTATCTTTTAAGCCTCTGTCTTGTGTGTGTGTGTGTGTGTATGTGTGTGTGTGCGCATTAGTATGAAGGTGTCAGATCTCTTGGAACCGGAGTTAAAGACAATTGTGAGCACCCACATGGTTACTGGGAGTTTTGAACCCAAGTCCTTTGAACGAGCAGACAGTGCCCTCAACCACTGAGCCATCTCTCCAGCCCCCTTAAGCCTGTCTTAAAGAATTTAAAAAAAATAGAAAAAAAACTCACAAGAAGATAGTATAACATGATAGAATCATAAATAATAAAATAAGAAACAAAAATACAATGGAGAAATCAACAAAGCAACATTATTTGTTACTTGAAATCAGTAATAACTTTGTTATGGTTCGGCAAGAGAGAAATAAATTACTAATGGTACATTCATCCTCTGTTAGAAAAAGTGAATACACAACTTAAAATCCTTTCTAAAGGAAACTTTCAGGCTCAGATGGTCTCGCCCAGGCAGTTCCCTAACACTGAGAGATATTATTGGACACTGGAACAGGAGATGTTCACCAAGGCATGTTATGAAGTCCACAAAGGACTGTCTCACAACTCAAAGACAAAAATGAAGAGAAAAGAAAGTTCCAGGAGTCATGCTTAAGCCCCAAGTGGAGGTCAACAGCAGGAACAGCTCCTGAAGGATTTTGTTCTCCTTAGCTCTCCACAAGGTTTATAAAAACATGTTCACAGATGGTGGGAGGAAGTTGCATTGAAATTTCCTCAAATAATTGGTCAAGCTCCCTTTGACTCCCAAACAGACTGGGATTTTTCTCAGGATTCTCCACTTTGAACTTTTCCAGTGTTTTATTACATCTTCAGCGATGCCTAGACTTTTGTCTGCCTTGACAAAAGTCTCAACTTTGATAATGGCCCCCTATCTTCCCAGTTGAAAGAAGGGTTGTATAATACCCATAGTCTCATATTGGCTGTTTTATGACTTTGCTTAAGGACAGTCATAACTTACAGGTCTTTGTGCTCTGTGTTGAATCCTACCAACCCACTCCCAAGACCTGTGTGCCCCAACTGTTTGCATACCTGGTGGAATTTATCCGCTTGCCGCACGTAACCAGCCACTTCATTATCAGAGGTGAATATCTTCCAAATCTTCTTTTGAGCCTGTTTGTATTCCTTGGATCCATTCCACTCCATGGCCATCAAGGAACGCTCTGTCAGGGCAGCTGCCACAATGATATCCAGTTGGCCATTGTAGAGCAGAACCTGAAATGAGGTCCAGCCCTCAGCAAGTATGGAATTCAGAAGAGAAAGCAAGGGGCACAGTCAGGGATAGAGGGCGAACCTGAATCAGACATGGGAACTTAGGCTTTGGAGACGGTGTCCCAAATCTGAAGCTCACTCACTCCCCACAACCTGAAGGAAACTCCAGTCCTGTCTCAGCCAAAGCAACCTTCCAAAGTTAACTCATGATAACCAATAGATACTTGGGCCCCAAAGACAAAGGTTTTCTTGGTCTCTGTGTAGTGTTGATCTCTTCAGTCTCCAATTTGGCCTGAACGGAGACCTTTCACTGAGTCCTCAAACTGGATTTCACCATTTATACTATCTCTGCCTTCATGATTCAGTCTTCTTAAAAGGTTTAAGCACAACTTAAAATTCCTGTGTGTGTGCTCGTGCGAATGTGTGTGTGTTCATTCAGGCATGAACAACCGACTTGGCTGTCTAAAAGGAGGTTACATTTTAATAGAACTAAGGAATATTACACTTAGAATTTCATATTGTTCAATTCTCCTGTCCTGGTTGCAACTATGGTTTCTGCAAATCCTCAAATCCACTGACTCCAAGGTTTTCTTAAGAAGCCCCTCCTAGGGCTTCTTTGTCTTACGATAGCCACTCACGCACAGCAAGGGAAGGCCTTCCTTTCCAAAACAAATCTTTCCCTCCCACATGAATGGATACCATAGAGAATGCTGGAATGGCTTTTTCCCACCCTACACAGCTCACAGTTTATATGGAAAGAGTTTAGAAATATGGATACTTTCTGTCCCGGGTAACCCCATTTTGTGAAATGAACTCTAGAAAACGAAAGAAAGAGAGAAAACTAAAATTCATATAAATAAGCTTGTTGAGTCTCATTATAACCAAGAACTTAACACAGCTCAGCACCCTGTAACTGGTGAGCAGTGACATGCACAGGGGCACAGAAGTTCCATGGGATGTTGTAAAGTCTGAAGTATTTGCTTGAGCCAGGAAGTGAGGTGGGATACGCTTGTCATAGATTTGAAACACAGATGCTGAAAGTAAAGCATAAGCCATATTACAATTATCTTCCTCAATATATACACAAATACACGTATGTAAAATGAAAAGTCTGGAAAAATAATGTGGTTCATTAATTTACATGATAAACACCTGAGCCACTTTCTCTGTTTTCTATGCTTCTGACATTGTTTTCATGGTATTAACATGATCATAATTATCATAAAATATTGTGCCATTTTAACCCAAGGAAGCAGTTTTGCTAGACTCTGTGCAACCTTTGATCTACCTTCATGTTCTGTTTTGGCCTAAGTGGAGATATTTGGTTCAGTCTTCAAAATTGCACATCAAGTGTTTTGCTGTATATGTTTCCATCTCTGCATGGCACATGCTTCTAAAAGGCTTAAATGTAATTAAAAAGCCCAGGACTTTGACACGCTCCTAACCCTCAAACAGAGGTGGGATAGGATTCAGGCTAAGATGAAAGAGTCTGGGGCCTCCACCGCAGGAACCCTCAGCCTTTCATGTTGCTCAGCCACCATCACCACCCCCTCTCCTACACAGGAACCCAAAGGGAAAAGTCCTTGATAGATTTAAGGTCATTTTTAAAGATCTGACTCAACTGAGCAATAAAATATTTGCATTGTTTATACAAAACATTGCCTCAAAGGCTCCTAGTACTTATGGCCTGGGCAAAGTCTTGTACAGCTGTTTCAGCCAGAAGTATGGAAACAATTACATGTGATGGGTACCAGTGAACAAGGATCAAATGTCTCACCATTTTAGGAAGGCCTTATTATGGCTTATTAACAAAGACAATCACGAACAAAGAAATTCTCTTTCCAGAGTCCGATGAGAAGATGCGGATTCATTAGCAATTTACCAGGATGACTGTTCATCTGGGCTGCCCATGGCCATGCTATGAGCTAGCATCTTCTCCCAGAAGTGTCACTGGAAGCTGCTTTTTAAATTATCACTGCATCTTAAAAACCAGAGCAAGATCTTTTTGCTGTTGTTCAATTGTTTCTTTTTGCATTCTTAAGGGACAATAACAAAAAGCACAGCTTACAGGCTTATCTGAGGAGCAGTCTTGCTGCACATGTTTGCTGCTCTGAACTGACAGCCCACCCCTGAGCTGCTCTGCTTATTATTCCAAACTCTTCACAATCAAGAATACCAACAGTCTGGAAGACGGCAGTGCGGAGCCAGGATGCAGAATCCTTTATGTGAAGTGGTCTCACTTGGGGCTGGAGGAGGACAGGGGGACAGGAGGGCAACACAGATAGCCTCCCTTTTCAAAGCAAGGCAAACACTTCATTTCTAAAAGGCACACAGATCAAACGCAGCAAGAGAGAATCGAGTAAATGGTTGTGAGCTTCCTGGTTGCCAGCTTGGCTTAAGCTTAAGAGAGGTCTACATATTTTTGCTAAAGCTTGCTTCTGCCTTCCAGAGACACCTGGCCTGCAGGTTAGTGAAGTCAGGGAGGAAACGCCTGCCCTGAACATGAATGGTACCCGCCAACAGGCGCGGGGTGCAGATAGAACATGTCAAGAACAGCAGAAGCCTGTGAGCCGCACGCTCCACCTTCCTCAGCTGCTGCACTGTGACTGCCGCTGCTCCTAGACACCAGACTCAAACCGTCCAGGTTTTCAATGTACCTTCACACCAGTCACTCCCTGGGGTCGGGATGGGCGGCCTCTCTCTTTATCAGGCAGCCTCTAGACTGACGGAGTGAGGAAGAGAGCCCAGCATCCACGCTGTGAACGGAGAACACAGGTACATGCGGTCTGCCGCCGCAAGTACCGTGCTTTCTACTCACATCCCAGAGAGACACAGAGGCCGCAGGGCTGTGCCGGGCCCCACATTCCCACAGACAATGAAAGATGTGCACATGCCCTGGCCTTTCCCACACTGGTGAGTAGGGATCTAACGCCATCCTAGATGAATTAGTTTCCCAGGATCAGGGCCTTCGGTGCTAAGAGCAGGAGAGTCATGCAAACTTTCCCATGGAGTGTGTGGGTAATTAAAGCAGCAGAGTCTAGAGGCAAGGAGAAGAGAGAGATATGAGGTTTTAGCTCCCTATCCTTGCCAGCAGTGCATCAAATTAAACAATGAGAAAGGAAAGACAGTTGGCGTTGTTGTCCAGAGTTGAGCCAGGCAGTGCCCTGAACACCTCCGTTCCCCATGCTCCTGCCTGTCAGCTGTGAGACCTACAGGGAGTAAAGGCATTCCTGTAGCATTTCGCTTGTTCTGTGGAGGGCTGGCTGGTTAGCTCAGTAAAAGCAGCTGTTACTGCCACAAGATGGGAAAATGCTTATTACATTAAAAATAAAAAACTCCACTTGTTTATGCTCTGTAATTGCCATGTTTTTAAAAACACATGCATGCTTTCAACTCGACAAAGAATGAGAAAGCATGATGGCAGTTTTCAGGCAGCCAGGGGATGTTCGATTTGTTCTGGCTTGCTCAGTGTCAAGTTCTTCAGTTCACGTGGTTACAGTGCTGTCCTCATGAAACACTGCAGAACGGGCAGGAACACCAAGAGCAAACTCCATTTGACAAAGGATTTGACAGGAGGAAGAACCTGCAAACTTCTAGCGCTACCCATCCCCAATTTTTCATAGGAACGAGGTTAAAAAAAAAAGAAAAGAAAAACTTCATTATAGTTCTTAGAGGTTCATGAAAACTCATTCCAAAACTGAAGCATTTATGAGCAAGCGATTAGGTGATGAAAGTGACAATTGTTTCTTCATCTTTTATTTTTTATAAAAGGCAGAGGGCAGGCCAGTGAGGCAGCTCAACTGGTAAAGGGGCTTTGCCACCAAGCTTTTAACCCAGAACCCAAATGTGGAAGGAGATAAATGATTTCACTTCAGAGTTCTCTTATTACATCCATGTATCCTGTGGCATAATAACCCACGCGTACACAGATACACACATATATAAGAACATAAGTGGAAAAATACAGCACAGAAGTGTTTTGGTCTGTATTCTGAAGGGCCTTCCTCTGCCCATGGCTTTATTCTCACCCCCCATCCTGAGGCAGGGGCTAGGCGTATGGCCACTCTGTTGTTAAGGAAGCCATGAGTGTATGACGTACTGGGTGAATGATGGCTTTTCAAATTCCTACCTGCGGCTCCTTCAGGAAGCAACCCAGCCACTCTCAACCAACAAGTACTGATTCCCACGACTAAGTGATCAGTGTCACCCAAAGCCCCTGAAAACTGCAGGCGAGTGAGTATGAGACCCAATTGTTGTCTCCAGCAACAACCTTGAGCAGCTGGTGCCCCAGTCCTGAGATGTTTCTCTCAGTCACTTGTCTGTAGGGATAAGAAGTCATGGGAGGTGGGAATTACTCACAGATGGTGACAGAGTCTCCTTCCTGCCGTGGAGAGGCTTGCTTTGTTTTTATTGTAATTTTAATTTTAGTATAGATTCATTGTAAAAACCCTTAGTTCCATTATGACATTTCTGTTTCAATATATTATGTGTTCTGCTTATGTTTACCCCCACATCACTGTCTTATCGTCCTTCTCCTTCCTACTTCTCCCTGCTCTACTTTCATGTCGCATGTATGTGTGTATTCGTATATATATATATATATATATATATGTGTGTGTGTGTGTGTTTGTGTATATATATATGAATATATGTGTATGTATATACATTTATACATATATTTATCTATACATCTATAAATATACACATATGTATATAAACACATATACATATAGTGTGTTTAGATGTATGGATACATATATGTGTGTATTGTATATATGAATATATATATATGTATACATGTATAGATGTGTGTTTATATATATAAACACACATCTATACATATATATGTATGTGTATATATATATGTATTTATATATATATGAACTTACAATGTACCTATGAAAGAAAACATCTGATATTTATTTTCTGAGGATAGTTTTTTATAACATGAGTTTGCATTGAATCTATCTTCTTGCAAATGCTAAAATTTTGTTCTCCTTTCT